AAAAAATATCTTTAATACTATCTATAATCCGATTACAGGGTTATCTACAGGGTCCAATTGTGAAACAACCACAAAAGATCATAAATCATTAAAATCGGTCTCAAGAGTTCAATGATAGAGAATTGTACTGAGTAATTATAATCAAAGATTTATTTATGTTCATTTAGTGATAGTAAATATGTTTTACAACACTAAATTTATCCTGGTATCCGTAGAAGGTATAAAACTACATCGGGTTTTACGAATAAGTTAATATGAAAGTGCACCTTTCGATACTATGACGTTTCTTTCTATCTTTACACACATCTTAGTTCTAATTAAGGCAAGTGTAAGTTGCATCTGTTTCAACTTTTACTATTAGTTAGTTTCATTTTGAATAAATATCTAAGTTAGAATGAACACATTGCAAGATATCTAAAAAGTGAAAAGTTAACAATTAATGCATACTTTTTATTATATTTTAAGTAACTAAGCTATAACTAAGTATCAATGTCATGATTGAAATTATGGATTCTAGATATTTAATTCAATTATTTAATTTAATTAAAGAAATCGGTGTTTCCCGAGCGCCATGACTAGAAGTAATAGTGTTCTGTGGCTATGACATGTCCTTCTTCAAACGAGCCTTGTGGAGAGTATTAAACGGTAGGCAGGGGCTTGGCTCTGCCCCAGGCATTGCTGACGTCCATGAGAGACGGTAACCACTCACCATCAGGAAGGCCGTATGCTCTTCTGCCTACATGGCAATAAAAAAAATCATTAAGCTCTTAATTTATTGACCAAATATAACCATCTCAAATGTATGAAAATCTTAAGTGTTCGAAATTTGAAACTTTAACTGTTACTGAAATACTGAATGATGCTTCCATCTAGTGTTGAATAAAAGAAAAAGAATAGCGACATCTATGATTGAATAGAAGACATCACTGTCAATAACATTTTAGCAATTGAACCCGCTAGATGGCGCTTTCTTCAAAGTATATATTTAACAAATTGAAATGACTATAAACTATGTAGTTTTTGAATTAAAAATTATACTTACTTAAACAGTATCACAATCAAAACATACTATAACATTGTGATAAATTAAAAAAAATTTAAAATTATTGTTTTACTGTATACGATTTTTGCAAAAGTTTATGGCGTATAAAAAATGTATTCATTATTAGTTCACAATATTGAAATTATTTTAGTATATCAACTAAATAGTGAAATTTTACTTGTAAATACTTTAGTTATTTCGTATCCCTTTCTGTGAGCTGCGGTGTCCGAGTGGTTAAGGAGATGGACTTGAAATCCATTGGGTTCTACCCGCACAGGTTCGAATCCTGTCCGCAGCGGCTTTTTGTTGTAACGAAATAATAATTCTTACACGAATTAGTATCTGTAGTAGAATTTCACAAAACCAACCAAAGGATTTTTTTTTTTTTTTAATTACATTTTAAAGACTTAATTTTGTTTGTTAATTTAATAATTACCAGAGGTCCCGCAATAGTCGAAATTCGATTATAATTACATAATTGGAATTGTAAGTTTGTACACTATTATGATTGTATTTTCAACGCCAAGACTACACTATAGAAAAATATTAATAAAGACAGACAATATTTAATCTATTCTCAATTTGACCATAGACGTCAAGAACAAAAGTTTGACAATAAATAAAGAGTATGCATGCGTGTGTGTGTCAAATAGATGGTAGTGTGTGTAATGTTTTCTTTATTGATTCAATGTATCTTTTATGCATTATTTTAAAAAAATATTAGCATTGTTCACTTCGTCTCTATATTCTCTATAAGTGTGGAAATTTTAATACTCATCCGCCCGCGCAATTTTCGTAAAAAGGGATACAAAGTTTTTGCTTCACGTATTAACATATAGATTTGAACATTGTTTGTTAAAGTATAGATTTGGTGGTAATGGAAATATCATGCTATTTGTACTAATCGTAACAATATTCTTTAAGCAGATATATTTTTAATTTCTTAATTATACGTTAATCTAGAATCCGAAACCACTACTAGAAAATCTGGAAAATTTTCATAACAAATATTATATAAGTTTTATAATATAGTTCATATTATAAAATGTAATAGGTATAAAACAGATATTATATAATAATATATAAATAAAATTATTGGAAAAAACCGTTTCATTACTGTTCTACTCTGTTATGTTTGTTTTAGTCTACAAAAGGCACCATTAATTAATAAAATGTTTACATTGATTAGTAGATTTACTTGTTTTTACGAGTCGTAATTCTTTATTCCAAAACATCAAGATATTAAAAAAAGCTCCTTCGAGCCGGATTTGAACCAGCGACCTATGGATTACCACAACTTTGACTCACTACAGTCCACCGCTCTACCAACTGAGCTATCGAAGGTCTGCCGTACAGAAGCGAAATTAAAGATAATACTATCATAAAATTCTATTAACAATCAGTAAAACAATAAGCGTCAATGTTCATAAACCTCATTCGGTGGAATACTTACATCATTCGATGTTGCAACCTTATATAGTATAATTTATTTAATCAATATTTTTTTTATGAATTATGTAGCTGGTTATGTTATTAAAAAAATCAATGTATGCGTGATTATTTTGACAAATAACTAAGTACCCAATTTTATGAATACTGGCGGATAAGTTCTAAGTTTCCAAACTTACAGCGTTATGGGATATATAAAAGCTTAACAAAAATCACTTTCTCATTCCGTCTTCTGTTTTATATTCAAAAGTCAATTTTAAATCTAACCCCATCTAAATATAATTCATCTATTCTCGGCTTTGTTTGCAGAAACGGTCAAAGCTCTTGAACTCTTGAACTATTCGTTCAGAATTAAGCCGTTGAATAAGTTATTGTCAAATATATTAAGGCGCTTAAATATAAAACAAAAAAATCACATTCATATATAATAAAATAAATATTACGTAAACTATGTTTTTTTCTAGTTTTCAGTTTAGTGTAGTTTTTTTTTATGTCCTTGTAGGTAGACGACCATACGGCCACTAGATAGTCAGTGTTCACCGTCGCCCATGGGCGTCAGCAATGCCAAGTTCAGTTCAGTTCGTGCCGAGCTAAGCCGCTGCCTAAAAAGCCATTGTTAAACGTAGACTGGTATAGGCAATATGACGTATTGTAAGCTCGCATGAGTAGGTACCATCATCTATCCAAATTTATTTTTTCTGCTCTGAAGATCAGAACCAGTGCTAGATTAGCGATATAGCTGGTAGTAGCATATAGCAGCATACACATAGCTGCGGATCTCACGCGAGTAACCAAAAACAACCAATAATAACCAACCATAAAAGACCCACACCTAATGTCTATTCTCATAGACAATACTGCAATTCTATAGGTACCTACATTAACTAATTACTCTAATTATAGACATTATTGATTAGAGTATACAAACGGCATTATCACGGGTAGACTCTAGTCTACCACGCTCGCTAACCCATAGACATAGCCACACGTCATTTCGGATCCTGCCGATCCACTAACCGTGCTTTTAGGTACCCCAAGCCCCGGTCACCGTTCTCGCCGAACCCGTCGCTTATGACGAAGGGCTCGGCCAGTAAATTAACCCACAGACACAGCTCACTGAGCTTCTCGCCGGATCTTCTCCGTGGGTCGCGTTTCCGATCCGGTGATAGATTCTGCGAAGCACGGCTCTTGGTAGGGTTCGTGTTAGCAACAACGTCAGGTTTGAGCCCCGTGAGCTCACCTACTCGACTGGTTACGCTAATATGGTCTCTGAAGACCATCAGCATATGTAGGAAAAAAAAAGACAGCTCATACTACACTACTCTTGCTAAGGCATGTATATAAGGCATAAGGAACTTCAGGGTGAAGCTAGAATAGACCTTCGAGACCTTAGAATAGAGCTGCTGTAAGAGGACTGCAATAAAAAAATTAAAAAAAGGTAAGCCAAAAAAAGCAATTTATAGGCCAGGGGTACCTTAGCCGGCCGAGCGAGACTGCTGTTTTACAATACGATTGAGTCTTCGAGCTCATACCCTAAATGGGTTGTAGCATTCACGATGCCTCTATGGCTGATCTATGGCTCTTAAAGCCGCCAGCACTTGGAGGGTCGTGAACACATTAATTCATCTATCAACAGCTCCTACAAGATATGTCGTCAAGACAACAACACAAAGCCTATCATTACTTTTTTCGAAGCTCTCTAACTAATTCACGGCTTTTTTAAGTGCTTAGGTGGGTGGACGAGCTCACAGCCCACCTGGTGTTAAGTGGATACCGGAACCCATAGACATTTACAGCTAAATGCCGCCACCCGCCTTGAGATATAAGTTCTAAGGTCTCAATATAGTTACAACGGCTGCCCCACCTTTCAAACCGAAACGCATTACTGCTTCACGGCAGAAATAGGCAGGGTGGTAGGTACCTACCCTTGCGGACTGACAAGAGGTCCTACCACCAATAAAAATTGCCTAAATTATTGACTCTTTAATTATGTTACCCCAGACTGACTTAGATCTTAGCAAAGGCGTTTACACGGTCATTAACTACTAGGATAAGAGGAGATCAAGTATTAGCCGTGACTTTAGTCAGAATAATAATTGTGAATCGCTCCATTATTAAACCCTAATAAATCCGAGCTCGAAGCAAATTGCGATCGCTTAGCGGCTCGATTACAACACGACAAACAATTTCCTGGCGAACACTTTCATCAGACTATAGCAATTGACGTCACCAGAATACAGCCTCCGTAGCTTCTATTGTCAAACACATATTTAATTACGACCGTGTGCAGTGCGGCACGCGCTATCAAATCTACTTAAACATCACAAGCGTCTTAAAGTTCTTACCTGAAACGAACCGTAATTTGTTGGAAATAAGGCTCGTTATTGAGCGATCAAACTAGTTCAGTTCAAACGTTTATTATAACGGTACAGGGGTGAATTTCAGCCGATTCCGTACTTTAATACGCCTGCGCAAGAACACAAGACAAGTAAGCTTCAGTCAAAGTGAGGCGGCGCGCCGGCTAGCGCGCTCGCCCGCCGACTGTTCGCGAATCCCGCCAGACACTATGTTATAGAGCATACATCAATAAAACTAACTCCCAATGTGCGTCCCGCTGTAAGGATCTTATCCGTATCCCGCCAACTGAGCGAGAGACAACACACAACCGTCTTTCTAGTCTTCCTAAAGAAAAACGTGGTCAACGTGTGACGATACTGTTGTTTTGATTAGGTAAGTTGCAATTGCCGGTTTAAGGTCGAATGTCGCCCTTGGACAATGCCGGTCTGAATATACGTGTCGCAAATTGATCGCGTGCATGCAATAAAATCATTCAGAAAATTGCCTACTCAAATGCTACCTGAGTTCAGTCATCATTATTGACCATCAAGTTTGCCCATTTGACGTAAGGGCGCACACTATGATCGAAATTCGACCACAATTAATAGACACCTCAAGACCTACATAGATTCATTTTATGTATCACTTTCCCCTTTGTTCTGGTTTTTAAAAAATAGAATACTCGCGATTTGAAGAATTATTTACATTGGTAACACTATAAAAAAAAATCGGTTGGCAAGAAAGAAGAATTGGTACTTAGGTATTTCGTCTCCGCCTTTTTAAATATAAATAAAATCGAGATTCGCCACGCATTACTTTACCGGAGTTCGACATAACCCGCTCTATTATTCCTCTCGACCGGGTATCCATAAATGGATTTTCCGTAGCGTTAGAAAAAAAAAAGGATATCTCGGCACTTTTGTAAATTTAATTTATCAACACGAGTTACGTAACTGTTGTAATAAAGATATCTGCAAAACAAATATTGTGCTATGAAGGATTTCGAACGTAAATTAAAATCTGTCTTTAAATATCTTTGAAGCAAAGGAGTTTTCTAATTAATAAATACGACAACCATAATAATTTTATAGTTACAAAAACATTTTGAAATCGGAATGTTTATTAAATCATAAAGTTATTTAATAAATCCATACAACTTGTTTCTCGTGATCGTAATCAGAAAAGGCAGTAGACAGGTATATGTAATATCTGGATCATGTAACTTTCTCTGACCTCGTGGCCTAAGAAAATGGGATTGTACGATCATAATGGTTTTTTTTGTATACATTATATTAATACAGAAAAAAAACTACCTTATATAGTAGCGTACTAATGTAACCGTTTCCGAGTTACGTAATATTCTTATTAAAATAATAAGAACTAGTGGTCGCCCGGTAGTCGAAATTCGACTATAATTCATTGAAATTATAAGTTTGTACACTATTATGATTCTATTTTCAAAGACTATTGTACTTCTATAATCACAAATTTTGTCAAGACTACACTATAGAAAAATATTAATAAAGACAAACAATATGTAATCTATTCTCAACGTCAGACAAAGACGTCAAGAACAAAAGTTTGACAATAAATAAATAGTATGCATACGTGTGTGCGTCAAATACATGGTTTGTAGTGTGTGTAATGTTTTTTTTATTGATTTAATGTATCTTTTATGCATTATTTAAAAAAAATATTAGCATTGTGCACTTCTTCTCTATATTCTCTATAAGTGTGGAAAATTTCATACTCCTCCGTCCGCGCAATTTTCGTAAAAAGGGATACAAAGTTTTTGCTTCACGTATTAATATATAGATACGATACACGACTATCAATAATTATAATCAGTACACTTCATATTCAATACAGAAGTCGTATATTAAACAGGTTAATTCGAAATAAAAATACAGTCATGCTGAGTCATTATACCTACCCGCAGCCCGTTATTTCACAAGGTATTCTTTTCCAAGAAGCGTAGTTGGACGTGCAGGGTAAGTCATACACTGCCCACTTACCTAACGACTTGCCGTCTGTGATAATTTGAATACGTATTCAAGTATAACATAAATGATTTTACCTTGACGTCGTAAATGAAAAGTTTTATCTGAACATCTAAATTACAACACAATATACATAATACAAGACTTGTCTGTAATATATTACAATATTAGCATTTTTTTCAGTTTTCGCGATTAACATAATTAAAACTAGGTACTTTCGTCGAGTTTTTTTATTGTCATTATATTACGTACAGGCAACCCTGCTATAACTCGATATTTTAAAACATGGTTCCACTCTAACGCGAAAAAAAATAATCCCCAAAACCCTCTTATAACACGGCACTTCTACAACACGACAACGAGATATTTGTTTAAATTATATTATGCACTATGAACACACAATATATGGGAATAGCCGAAATTTACTGCTTATTTTCTTATGTATAACAGGTAAAAAGTTAGCATAGTTAAGATGTTTCATTCTGAAAAATTACTCTCCTTTTGTTACTGGCTTCTATTTTCTTAGAACACGGTTTCGCACAACACGGGATTTTGTGAGAACGTATTTACCGTGTAATAGGAGGTTTACCTTTACAACATACATTGTTGTGGTTCACGGACGAGAGTCGTCCTGGGCCAGGAAGGTCAAGTACCTGGTAGTCACCCTGGATGCATCGATGACATTCCGCCGAACTCACAACGAACTCGACAAAGAGTTCGACGTGCAACCTAACCTAAACCTCAGCCCGCTGAGCTTCTCGCCGGATCTTCTCAGTGGTACGCGAGTCCGATACTAGATTCATTCGTGAAGCAATTGCTCTTGAGTTGTTAGGTCTCCTTTGGAGGTACTCGGGTAGCTCTTAGCAAATCCCACCCCTCCTGGCTGAGCCCTTGCTCACCCAGCTGTCCTGGTGAAACTGGAAAGGCCTCCGGGCCACCAGTAATCCCTCAAACATAAAAAAGGACGATTGTCGTATAGGAAAGCTTGGATTTTTTTTCTTATTGCTTAAGATGGGTGGACGAGCTCACAGCCGACCTGGTGTTAAGTGGTTACTGGAGCCCATATACATCTACAACGTAAATGCGCCACCCACCTTGAGATATAAGTTCTAAGATGTCAGTATAGTTACAACGGCTGCCCCACCCTTCAAACCGAAACGCATTACTGCTTCACGGCAGAAATAGGCACGGTGGGGTACCTACCCTCGCGGACTCACTAGAGGTCCTACCACCTGTAAAATAATGACATTAAAAAAATGCAAGATTAAGGCGTAAAAGTAATTTTAATTATGGAATACAATAGTATTATTGTAAGTGGTGCGTAAACATAATGTATTTAAGCTGCTTATTCCATTTAAGTATCTCGAAAGGTCGCCGATTTTGGGTACAACATGATTAATGTACCGACCGACAGCCGCTGTGTTTTGCTGCTCTGTTCCTTTTGTCTTTGATCGTGAAGCCGTGAATGATTTGTCTGTTTCCATCGTATTTAGGTACCGGATTAAAATATTAAATAATTATTATTGTATTTGCATTTTTTTACGAATAATAGCGTGAGTAGCGTAGAATTTTGGCTACACACACACACAACAATAACCTGCTCTTTTTTTTTATATTTGAAGTATTACTGGTGGCCCGAAGGTCTTTCCACTTTCTCTAGGTCAGGTGGGCGAGCAAGGCTCAGCCAGAAAGGGTGGGATTTGCTAACAGCTGCCCGAGCGCCTGCGAAGAAGACCTAACAACTCAAGAGTAGCTGCTTTGCGAATGAATCTACTACTGAATCGGAATCGCGACCTGCTGAGAAGATCCGGCGAGAAACTCAGCGAGCTGATGCATGGGTTAGGTTGCACGTCGAACTCTTTGCCGAGTTCGACGAGTACGAGTACTTACGGGGTCCCTAAGCCTGCTCCTAGTGTTAGAGCTGAAGGTATCTAATGCAAGAGTTATAGGATCTGATGGATCCGTAAGGACATGAACCTGCTCATTTGAAAGTGTCGTCTGAACCGAGACACAATTGTCTATCATAATTGAGACATTAGTCATATGTTACAGGGTGCGTGACAGTATTAACTTTGTGATTTATATGGGAACCTCTTTACCGGATGAACCGTGAGTCTATGTTCTCACATCCAAAAACATACCTCATAAACAATAACCGTGATATTTAAAATGTCGAATGCACGTTAAATATATTTTAAACAAACAATCTTATATATCGGTACTTCATGGCTTATCAAATAGCTGAAACTTTCGTATTCTGTCGTTGACTAACAATTTCCAAAAAGAAAAATAGCAATGTTCGACAAAAATCTAAACACGCAGAATTTAAAATTTTACTTTAATTAATATCCTTTGGCAAATATGTCAATTTAACACAGACGAAACTACAATAGGTATAGAATCTAGTTTATCATAAATTAGCTTCCATTTAAACTGAAAAACGAAATTAGATGATTTTTTTTTAAATTGACATAGCCAGCTTTATTTTATTACCTGACGAGCATACGTTCTATCTGATGTTCGGTCACGAAGATCTGTAATGCCTAGGGGTCATGCATAGTTAAGCCGCTGCCTACCTATCTCAGTGTGTTTAGTGCGAGTTTTTTAACGTTCTCGATAGCGTGAAAGTTAACTCAAATTTGTGTGGAGTTGGAACGTTTGCCGCTAGGGGTGCTTTTACAACTGCATACAAATTTGAGTTAACTTTCACGCTATCGAGAACGTTAAAAAAAGCGCACTAAACACACAGACATACTCAACGTTGATAATTTTGAATTCTACCGAATAAAATATGTATTCGCATAAAACTCAAACTCAAAGAATGCAATCTCTAATTGGCAACTTCCCATAGCAAAATTTCTGTTTAATAGACACAAATAGAATAACTACTGAATTGTCTAGAGTAGTTTATACTACCTCTTACTATACCGTATTCATTCACAAAAGCCTCACAGGTTCAAAATTATACATTTTCAGTATTCTGAAAGGCATGTGAACCTAACATTATGCCAAGGGATCTTTGGTATAATTCTGTCAAGATCAACCTTGAACTTGCGACTTAGTCACGAAGAAGCAAGGATTAATATTGGACTACACATAATCTTCAAATTGATTCACCACCTGACCTTCATTAGTGCTGGTTATTCGATAAATTGTTTTATTATTAGCTAAAATTGACATATGGAAAATGATTTCAAAATCTCCGCAACGTACAATAGTTGCGTGCGTACTAAAAATGCTTATGTACAGAAATACGTTAATCGTAGCTTCCAAAGTTGAAAAAACTCATTATTTTACCTCTAAATTATAACTGACCTATTAAGTATAAAGCAATTCAATTTTAGCAGAACAAGAAAACATAACTTCGACTACCTATGTAGAGTTAGTTTAAAT